AAGCTCTGTCACAGTCCGTTTTCGGACATCGTCGAGGGTGGACCGCACGTCGGTGTTGGAGCGACTTCGTTTAAATATATATTAGTTTTTTAAAAGTTTATACTCAATTATAAACATTTTTATGACTAGAAATACTTAATTTAGTTAATATCTGTACACTGGTAACTGTAAATATTATTTTCTAAATAAATGAATTTTTAAAGTGCCCAAAGAAGAAGAAATTTTTGCGGCGACGTTGATTAGTAAAATTGAAAAATGCATTTTTATATAATTTAGATGTGGAACGACGAACATGCTCTCCTTACTTAGATTGCGATAGTTTTTAATACCTATGTAATTTTATTGCTGCATATTTTTATTAATTAGTTGATAATGAATTTTATAATTATGTATTACAATAAAACGCTGTTTTTATAAGTATGACTTTATAAAATATTATTGGGGAGAGAAATAAAGATACAGATACTTACATTTAGGTACACTGTTATCAAATTAAATCAAACAATTTAAATAAATAAAAGAATGGTGCTTACCTAAGTATAAATAACTATATAAAGACATTCTTGGGTTTATGGTTTTTTTTTTGTTAGACAAACTATCATCTAAAAAATGTAAAAATTTTAAATAGGAGAGGGGTTTCTCTACGTGATAAAGTTACAAATGAAGGTATTTGCATTAGAACCAGAGTAACTGACATAGCTCAACGGAATATTACAGTGAAATGGCAATGGGCTAGCTATATAACTTGGAAAACATATAAAAAATAGGAAGAAAGGTCCTCGAGTGGCAACCTCGTACAGGTAAGCGAATTAGTACTCAACCTTTATTCCTCGTCACGTATTCTCATACGCTTTTCTTCACACATACACACACACACACACACACACACGCGCACACGCACACGCGCGCAAGCGCGTACGCGCACACACACACACACACACACACAAATAGGTCGCAAATAATACTTACCTAGTACTATTAGGCAAGAGTGAATAGGTTTTTGTTAAGTCAGTGCAATTCACCATCTTAGACTACATAACCACTTACCGATGGGATTGTAGTTGCTTTCCTACTTGCTGGGTAAAAATAGTAAAAAAAAATTTACCCTGTGAAAGTTTGCATTTAGGTATAATTTTTCTAACCAACCATAAAAATATGATGAGAATTGTATATAAGTATAAAGGTTGCCTCACACGGAACAGTAATAATATAATATTATATCTTCCATTATCTCTGAAATCCGAGGTATATTCATATTAAGAGGCTGAATAGAGCCACATTGAAATGCATGGGGATGGTTTTGTAATTTCACGTCATTATCGAAAAAAAATTGTACGTATTTCAGGTGGCGGTTTGCAAAACACGATTCCACAAAAGTTAACTCAATAGAAAATAATTGCAAAGTTGCTTCTAAAAATACTTAAATTTTCAATGGCAATTTTTTTTACGTGGTAGAGCCATGCTACAGCTATATTTATTAGGTATAGTTGTAGCACGAATGGGTCAGCTCGACCGGGGAAGGGCCACGCTCTCACGGAATAACATGTAAAATAGCAGTTTAACCCTGCTGTGTTTCGTATGGTGAGTGTAGAGAACCGGAGGACCTTTTTACTGGAAACGAGGCATTACATCTTAGTGCTCACGGGTGACAACGCATCTACATTTTGATACGTAATCGAGGATAGATGTAGATGTGTATGGGCCGTAGCAACCACTTACCATCAGGTGGACTGTGTGCTCGTTTGTCACCCTTATTCTATTTAAAAAAAAAACTTTCTAAGATTTCAGTAAAATAATGTTAAGTATTGTAAGCACTCGTACAATTATGTCTCATGTTAATAAAGCTATTGGGCTATTGGATATGGCTTTCTCATAAAGTGATTTTACTTTATAGGTTAAATAATTTATTTACCTTTCTATATCAAGAACCGGTTTTCTGTCACTCCTATTTGACAGTGCTTGCTGAAATTTAGCATCTTTAGATGGATCAGAATCGCCCGCTGATCCAGCTGTTAGATATTGCAAAAATAATCGAAAATATTTATTTTTACTTTCATGCCCAAGACTACCTTGTTTTATTTTATTACGGTCAAATAAAATTTATAAGGTTATAAAGCGAGTATTTTTGTAAATGTTTTGTATGTAAATGTAAATGTTTTCATTAACAAAATCTTAAAAAAGTTCAATGAATTAAAAAAATGCCAATAATTATATAATTTCAAGTCAGTGTCAGCCAATGTTATTATTTTCATTTTGATTAATTTAGTTCGAGACTAAAATAAATGTGAAAGGGCTTTTATCTGCAATTCATCAAAAATAACATAGACTTATTTATAAAAGTCATATACACGGTCAATTGTACTGAAGATTATCAATTGTACTACAAAATATTTAAAAGACTATTTCCAGTATAATGACCCGAATATCATCATTAATGTTTGACTGGCACACTTAAAAGTTTTATCACATGGCTAAATGATTGAATTTTATATTATGATAAGGTCATGCTTTTCTATAAAAAGTTGCAAGAAATTTTAATTCCCGGCCCTATTGGTTTGTTTTACTTTTTACTTAATTAGTGAAAAACAAAATGGACTGATCTAAGTTTACTTTCTTGTGTAAAAAGTGCTATTTAGATTTTTTTTAAATAATATCGGGTGACAAACGAGCACACAGTCCACCTGATGGTAAGTGGTTACTGTGACCCATAGACATCTATATCTATCCTCAATAAAGACGCAGATGCGTTGTCACCGGTGAGGACTAAGATGGAATGCCTCTTTGCCAGTAAAAAGGGTCTCCGGTTCTCTACACTCACCATACGAAACACAGCAGCGTTAAGCTGCTATTTTACGCTGGTTTTCTGTGAGAGCGTGGTCCTTCCCCGGTCGGGCCGACCCATTCGTGCTGCAACCATAATATAGCTGCAGCATGGCTCTACCACGTACAAAATGCAAATGCAAGTGATAATTAAAGTTTCTATGTAAATAAGTGTAACATAGCGGGAATTATATTCAATGGTAGCGGCCACCCGTATTTGCAAAGCCAGCATCATTTTCTGTACAGGAACCGGTAAAGTGTTGCTCAAGGCACTATGAACAAAGCAGCTGATAAAATGTTACACTCATAACTGTTAACAAAAACTGTTTTCCCAAATGGTCTTATAGATAATAATAACTATTCCGCCGTGTTAGGTGCAGGAGCTATTATTAGAAGGAGAAGAGGTAAAATTTTGTTTTAGAAATGCGCAATCAATATTGTTTTGTCTGCAATTGAGCATAAAATAAAAAATAACTTCAGCCAAAGAGCATAACTGGCATTATACTCAGGCCCATCAATTGGTATGGAAAAAAATAATTTTACCAGGTTTCAAAATATCAATCAAAATTCAAAAAACATAAATATTAAAATCAAAAAATGTATATATGTATGTCTATACATACATGTAATGATTTATGGCCGCTTAGTAACTGACGGTGACTCACTATAACATCCTACAGTCACGCCGAAACTAAGAGGAGAGAATCACTGTAGAAAAGGTAATAATTTATTGCGGAAATTTTGTAATAAAATTAAAAAAAATATAAACTTATCCAAGTTAATCTAACTTAGTCTAATTTATCCTTATGCGTACAAAAAAAAACAAATAATAAAATAGTGAGATGGCGTCAGTTTTTAAGAAGATATAACAAAAATAAATAAAAAAATAAATTTCAATAAAGTTCAGTATTTAATTGATTATATCCCGCTGACACTTAATCACGCTTTTCGAAACCACGCCAGTTGTAAACAATACTTGTGTGAAAAGACAAAATCTTCTTTTCAAATTTCCGCCGAGTTGTAAGTAGAAAGCCAAATAGGTCACGTGTCAATTTTAATTAAATATATTTTATATGAAGTGATCTTGACTACGTTTCATCAATTAACCATTGGTAAAAATTAAAACAGGAATTTTACGATTGTGTTTACAAAAAAAATTATTAGTTGAACCTTGCAGCTTGTTCATTATTTTTATTATAAATACCTATAAATGTAAATATTATTAATAAATAGTTCCCATTATATAATGGATTATTTTTTATTTTGCCCTATCTGCAATGTTCTACGCTCTATAGAAAATGTGGCGTATGACATGACTGACAATCTTTCGAACGTTTTATCTAGGTATAAAGATGTTTTACGTTTTCGTCGCCTCCACATGATATTTTTGTCAGCATAAGGTACCCTTCTATATCTGAAACGAATATAAATATTGCTACAAAGTAAAGTTATAGGCTATACAAGTCCCTCTACTGGGCACAGGACTCTTTTTTTATTTCTGAGAGGGTTTTAGGGCAAGGAAATGCCTGCCATGCTTCCCCAATGCGTGTTGACGAAAATTGCAATTACAAATTTCATTCGTGCTGTCGGGGATCAAACCCGGGAAAATTTACAGCGAACGCTTTGACGACATATTTTTAATACGATACAAATAAATACGATTTAACATATATAATAAAAATTCTTACGTACTTGAAACTTGAACACTTGATAGCTCGTGATGCCTACCGGACAAAGCTACAGCACCACACCATGCAATGTAATTGAAGATGCGTAACCGCGACATAATTCTCAGTGATGCGCAAGCATAACAGGCAGTATGTCACTTATATAATTGTCATCTCTGCAGTCTATTAATCTTTGCACTTTTATAAGTAATACAGAACGTAGTTGCTAGACGGTGTTGACATCGGCTAAAATCTCTGCGATCGCCGTTTCGTCAAGGTCATTCAGGCTAGTTAAAGCCTTAAATAATAATAATAATAATAATAAATCCTTTATTTCAGATAATTAAAATCCATATGTGGGTTAGTAACACAATAATAATAACAACAATTATAATAACAAGGGTTAGTTATTTCCCTATATTTTAAGCAAACCATTGTACTACCACTGGGTAGTACAATGGTTTGCTTAAAATCTAGGGAAATAAAATAAATACACTGTGCCGAGACAGATCATCATGGGGGTGGATAGGGCCCAGTAATCAGTCTCTGCACAAGACATTTCCACAGCGGCGATGTATATCTGTCCGCTACGGTTCTCAATCTGCGCGGCCAGTCGTCTATCGCAGCACGAACGAGGTCCATGTCAATATCGGCGGCTGCCTTAATCAAGGATGTCTTGAGTGACTCCAAATTGGGATGAGGCTTTGAGCACGCCTTTTCCTCCAAGTGTTGCCATATCTTGTAATCTAACGGATTCAAATCTGGACTGGAGGAGGGCCAGTCTTCGTGCCGGATGAAGTCGAAATCACGCGCCGCCAGCCAGTCTTGTGTGCCCTTCGCTCTATGAGCTGGCGCCGAATCTTGTTGGAATTCCCAGTGCCTATTATTGAACATAGTATGAGAAACAGATTCCACAAGGTTCGTCAGGACTATATTTTGATACACAACTGCATTCGTTTTTACACCTTTCTCACAAAAATGTACCTCTGTTAATCCCCAATAAGAAACTCCCAACCATACCATGAGCGAGGATGGAAAATGACCTCGTTGGACACGCGGAATACGGTTGCTCGCTTCTTCACTACTGTGTGCGTACACCTTATCATTTTGTTTGTTTTAGCTCTCTTCTACGGTAAAAATTTTTTCATCCGAAAAAAGAATTCCTCGATATTTTTCCCGCGTACCGCTTCAACAATCTCTTCAGTCTCAGGTCCATTAGACGACCATTCAAACGATGTCCTGTTTTTCTTCGATATGCCCGAAGCCCTAAGTCTTCATTGAACACCCTTTTCACCGTGATTCTGCTTAACCCCATCAGAAGGGCCAACAGTTTCTGCTTACGTTTGAGATTTCTTTGAATTCGCGCCTTCACAGCTTTTACCACTGGTGGAGTCCTAACAGACCAAGGGCGACCACTTCTTGACCTGTCATCTACATTAGAGTCTTCATTGTATCGTTTGACGGTATGATAAACGAATCTTTTGGTTATATTCAAATTTTTCAGTATGTCAAAAATTTGAATTGGCGCATAACCGCAACGATGCAACGCAATAACTGCAACACAGACCGTGTTGCAGTTTAAGCGTCCACTCCATATTTAAAAATGAGTAAAATTCTAAAAAGTATATAGTTTTATTTTCATGAACAATTCGAAATTCGAATTCAATAAACTTTTTTGTGGCCAGCATTCTAAAAGAAAAGTTTTTACTGTGTGACAATACTTATGACCTGACTAGGTATATGTATTTCTGTTTTCTAAAAAAGCATTACGCAAAATATCGTAAAAATAAATTTGGATAAAACTTTCACTATAATGTTACTTTAAGGTCAAACCGTTGAATTATTTTAGGAGCAGGGCAGTAGGTCTAAGGTGTAATTGTCTGAATATATTATATAATGTGAACTTTGTGACAATGTGACTTAGTCTGTACTTCTTAGTCACATTGTGTTGAAAGTAATACTATTTCACCTCCAAATGGCGCGTTCTATATGCTAAATGCCTTATTTTATAACAATAGAATAAGGAAATTATTCTATTGTTATAAAAACATATTCCTTCTTATCAAGTTGTCAAAAGTCGATGTCTCGGTTTTTTATTTATAAAATACAGTTTTTTGATATCTAATTTTATTGATTCACAATCAAAATGTTAAGCTATTTAGCATACACAAAGACGTCATCTTTAGTTCATTAGTGAGAGATTGAAAAACTATAAAAAATAACTACTGGACATACCGAAGCCTTCAATCGGATTTAACCAGGTTGTACACAAAGTGTTCCTTTTGAATTTCCCCTTCTATGATTTCCCGTGAAATTGTCCAATTGGGTCACCAAATGTTTTGGCAGATCTAAACCTTAAGGTCGTAGTCGACGGTGCATGCTCGAAATCCAAGCCTGGAAATGCTAGTGCTTATCTACGTTATTTCTTTTCTTCTCACACGACAGCACTGGAGATGCTTTTTGCACTGACCATGCCAATGCTTCTCAATCACACCCTTTGTTGCTTCAGCAAACATCGGTATCCTCACCATCTACGAAGAAGAAAAGGAAAGAAAGCTTTTTGAGCTAAATATAATGGAACAGTATTTTGTGCCGGCACACCGATTGCAACTTTACAGGGTGCAAGTCTGGTCTCAAATGGAATAGAAAAAGTAAAAATTGTTAATCAAAATTCGTACATTTTGCACCTGGCGGCAGTACACCTTACATCGTACTTTCGTGATTTAATCCCCGATGCAGCTCTTGAAACGAAATAATCCTATCAAAGACTACCTTACTTATTGGATTTAGATGGAGCTTTGCTGTAAGCTGTAGCAATGGCTAGGTTTATACGTTGCACATCTCTGTATTTAAATTAGTTAACTTATATAAAATACCAACTTTTAATGCCGTTATTGAAAAATAAAATAATACAATTTTAAATAAATAGATCAGATTTTGCTGAAAATCATCTTCATTAAATTTCATTTAAAGCCTGAATTTTAAGGTTCTGAATATAACTTCCTTCTCTATCTATAAAAATCAATTGCTGTCCGTTAATCTCGCTAAAACACAAAAACGGCTCAACTGATTTTGATAAAAATTGTGCGTGTTTAAATGGGTCCCTAAATGGATTAGATGCACATTTGAACCCAGTAGGTGGCGCTGTTGTCGAGATCCAGAAATCTCTTGTGCGAAGCCGAGGCAGGTTACTAAGCTAACGACATGTACAATATATAACAAAAACCTTGTGGTTCCCGTTAAGTACGTTATCAGGATCAGTATTCAAACCTATAGAAATAACTTTTCTTAAAATACTCGACAATATTTTTTTAATTTATTAAAAAAAAAATTATAAAATTATGTGGTTTTATTACCTCTTACTGACACTAGCCGATGCTAAAGCTAAGTAAAGCGGGGTCTTTGACAATCCTCGTACTCCCCAGACAATGCAGAGGTAATAAAACCATATACAATTTGCGTGCAATTTTTTATAAATAAAATTTAAAAAAATATTGTTCGAGACTTAAAAAAAGTTATTTCTATACGTTTGAATAATGACCTACTGCCCTGCTCCTAAAATAATTCAACGGTTTGACCTTAAAGTAACATTACAGTGAAAGTTTTATCCAAATGTAATTATTACGGTATTTTGCGTAATGCTTTTCTTGAAAACAGAAATACATATACATACAATTTTTCAAATTGTTGTTTTTGCATCTGTTTCGATAATATAGAATATCCTAATTAACATTTAAAAAAAAACAATGTGCAATAAAATTAAAAAAAAATTGTCGAGTTTTTAAAAAAGTTATTTCTATAGGTTTGAATACTGATCCTGATAACGTACTTAACCACAGGGTTTTTGTTACATGCTATATATATATATATAATAAAAATTCATTTATTTCAGACCAATTATCCATATTTGTTAAAAAATTATAATCTAAATACCTATAATATTAAAGAAAATTAAAATTAATAAATATAAAACATTAAATAAAATTACATTTAAAATTAAAATTATAATTAAAATACTTCTCTAGGTCGTGGCGTGTCTAACAGTATGCAGATTTATTCAACGCTCTAACATTGGTGAATCCCACCTGTCCGCTAGTACACTGAGAATCATGTTAGTGCTCGTCCGCATGCGATTCAGCGTGGAGGCACATCTTTTGCGCATTATGGCTTCAAACCCATCAACATGAGCCTCTGCAAACGTGCCAGAGGCGCTACAATACCGAGGCAACAACGCATTATCGTATTGGACGCGCAGATCATTGTATGCCCTCCGTGTATAGTTAACCCACAGGCTGCATGTATAGAAGGACTGACAATATGCTTTGAAAAGCGTAACCTTAACCTGTTTTGTGCAGCGTGCAAACCTGCGAGCCAACATATTACATCGTACAGCCAACGACCTGCGCTCCCGCTCTATATCAGTATTATCAGTTAGGTTTTCAGTGACCCAGTGGCCCGAGTACTTAAATTTCTCAACTCTATTCAGACTACTACCACAGAGTGTGACATTTGGTAGTGCGTAGCACTTGCTGCCTGATTTGAAAATCATTATTTCACTTTTCTGTGTGTTGTACTTGAGTCAGTCTCTTCAATGCACCGATTGATGGGCTTAGCAAGACCATGTCGTCTGCATAGCTTATATTATTGATGCATACACCGTCAATATGACATCCGACTTTGGTGCTACTAAGCTCTTCGATCAATTGATTCATATATAGGTTGAGAAGACGAGGAGAGGTCAACCCACCCTGTCTTACCTCACTCTATAAAAAGTACTCTTTGGAAAGTGTTTTAGCCCATCTCACACAATTTTTCTGATTATTGTACCAATACTTCAATAGAGATATAATCTCTTGGGGTAAAGTAGTGTCATGTTGTAGCTTTTTCCACAGTTCATTATACGATATCATATCAAATGCTTTTGATAGGTCCAAATAACAGGCATATACCGGTGTTTTTTCTTGCTGTATAATATTGTACAGTCTGTTTGAGGCACAATATAGTACTTTCTGTTGAAAGTTTAGGCATAAAGCCAAATTGTGCATCGTTAAGCTTCAAGTGCTTACTCAATTGTTCATCAAGCAGACTGTCCAGAACTTTAGCAATAACAGTGGCTAGTGAAATTCGCCTATAATTGGATATAACTGAAGAGTCTCCAGTTTTGTTTTTTATGATAGGTACAACAATTGTTCGTAATAATTTTTCAGGGAGATAGCCATGGGCAACACACAAGTTAAAATACATAGAAAGTACTCTTGGTAGGTGTACTCCAGCATACTGCAAGTGCTCGATGCTGATGTTATCGTGACCCGGAGATTTTCCTGGCACCATGTTTTTAATGACGGAAGCGACGTCCTTCGAAGTAAACCTAATACTCAACTCCGAGACATGGCCCTTCACATCTTGCACCTGTGATGGCGCTTGTCCTAAGGGCGATCCTACTCTGAAATATTGCTGAAACAAATCGGCTATCTCGCTGGGTTCATGCACACCCGCAACACTCACTGGAAGGCTTGGTTTATGGTGCAATTTATTTGTTGTGCTCCAGAACTTTCTAAAATTATTCTTTGAATAATATTCCGCAATGATGTCCATTTTTATCTGTGATTCGTTATCTTGGAACCATTTTAATTTAGACTTAAAAATGCACCTCGATTCACACATATAATTGTACATGTCACCTGAAGTAAGTTTACCACTTTGCACCCAATCTTGAAAGCACAATCGAGCCCTCCTGTGAACCCTACTTACATGTTTATTCCAACCTGTTACGTAATGCCTTTTCTTTAACTTCCTTACAATGCAACTTCGTTCGGCGGCTATACAAAGTGTACTTTCAAGGTCATCATACATTTTCTTCAATATCATTCTATGACTTATATTACAACAGATATTATCAGAGCAACATGTGAATTCTAAAGGAAAATCTATTTCATGTAATCGGGAATGACAAAAAGCATGAAATTTATTTATTTGTTCTGCATCACGCTCTCCCCAAATTATATTATATTTAAAGTTTCTAACAGGTAATATTACTTTAGGTTTCACTAAATTAAAATTACATTCTATTATTAGTGGAAAATGATCGGACCAGTACGTATCATATAATATACAACTACTTACTACCGATAGCTGTGCGGCTGCCGTCACCACACAATGATCAAGCCATCGGCGGCTGCCATGTGCTTCACTCACAAATGTATATGAGTTAGACGGTAATAGATCTATATCGATGCATGACCAAGATTGTTCTTTACAAAACGTTAATAATTCTTTTGCGAACAGCTCACCAGGATGCGCATTAAAATCACCCAACATAAAAACGGATTCTACATTATGACTCTCGACTATAGCACACATTTCACTGAGACATTCCGTAAATTCAACTAAGTTTTCACTCAAATCAATGGGCATATAAACAGAGAAGAATAGTAAAGAGCAATCGCATATCATTACTTTTATAGCGGCTCGTCGCACACTGTTGCATTTTATCACATTCACCGTGGGGAACACATTTTTTCTCCATAACAGAGCCACACCCCCATATGGCCTTCCTGGAATTACACCCACTGATGTGTCTACCGCTGAGGTCCCAGTAAAGGAAAAGTTATCATCTATGCTCCCCAAGTATGACAAATCATGTGGTAAAAGCCAGGTTTCCTGAAGCGCTATTACATCTGCTACTTAACCTAATCTTCTGACACATTCAACCGATCTCACAACATCCTTAAAATTAAAACTTGCAATTTTAGAATGACAATTGATCATTCTTTTTTATAGCTTCTCGTTCGCCATCAAAGCACCCGCTAATTTTTGATCCCTGTGCCTGAATTCAACAAAACGGCGATAAGCTATCCCTGAGGGCCAGAAATCCTCTTGCATAAACACATATATAATTTACTTTTGGGTACAAAAACTTTGTAAGATTCATATTCCTTATCTACTGTCATGTTCATTTTCTTAACTCTAACATCATTGTTAGTTTTACTTTTAATGTAATTAGTGATGTCATACACAGTAACATTAACATTTATATATATATATATATAAATAAAAAATGACTTTCAATTAGTATTATGTATTAATTAATATTGAATAAAAAATATTCTATTCTATTCTATAAATCAATTGCTGTCCGTTAGTCTTGCTAAAACTCGAAAGTGGCTCGACCGAATATGACGAAAATTTTTGTATGTATTTGATGGGGTCCCTGCATACTTTAGATTCTACCAAGTTCAATTGTGAATCTAAACTATCCAGGGACCCGATGAAATGTGGAACTGTTGTTGAGATCCAGAAATCTGAGATGGATCGCTTGTAATAAATTAATAAAATTGTTTTGACACTTTTTAGTAAATTGTATTTCAACGATATTTTTCAGCCCTCACAGCACAACAAAGAAAGAAAGCACTCCGTACATTTCAAGTGACGCTGAAACCATCCTTAACTTCTTGACACACATTAACGCACTCATCTCTCTTACTTTTTTTATTTATTAAGCCGCAAAAGTAGGTATGTTTTAATAAAAAACGTAAAACAATGTTGTTGGTTGCTAATTATTTTAGACGTTTATGTGCACGTGAGTGCGTTCTTACCAAAAGTTGATTCATGGTTTCGGCTTTTGGAGTCAGTAGTGTTTTGTCTATCTTTCTTTGTTGAACTTTGTTACATTTTCATTTCGCCTGAAACAAATAAAAGAAAAATTACCAAAATAACGGAACAAGCTTCTTATGTTAAGTGACTGTAATAGCTATTACGAAAAGAGATCATCTCATCAACTACGTCTAAGTAACTCGTTCAAAATTTCCAATGTAAAACTCAAATAAATGAGTGGAGAAAGTTGTATTTAGTTATTTATAAAAACAAAATTAATAAGAGGTAAATAAAAACATGCGTGAGTGTCGTGAAACACTCGGTTGGAACTAAGTTCCTTGCGTATTATATTAGTATTGATAAGAAAGAAAGAAAGAAAGAAAGAAAGAAAGAAAATAAGTTTATTTAGTAACACATTTTAGAAGTTTGCTAACCATAATAACATATTAAGATAAACGGTTACTAAAAAGGTACCCAACTCAGCATAGTCTTGATACTAACAAAGTACTTCGACACTGATCTTCCGTGGGTGCCAATAACATTTAACAAAATCAAAACTTAACAATATTCATTATTATACAATGTTAAGTCAATAAGCAAATACAGTATATTTAAACCATATATACGATTACACTATAATATAAGTAATAAAACATACATAAGTACTTATAATAAATTAATATAATAAAAATAGCAATTACTTAAATAAGATTAAAAGGAAACGAATAAACGGAATAGAAAAGTATGTAAGACACAGTAAATAATTTTCAATAAATTGACTTTTGAATATTGAGTAAGTATTTTTTGTAGTTATATATAAACAAACCGATTGAAGCTAGATTTCTAATTGGTGGTGGAATGTTGTTCCAGCATTTCGTGGCAGAATAACGAAAGCTACCTCGAAATGCCGATGTACTGTGTCTTGGACATACTAAACGAGTTGCTATTCTAACTTGTCGCCGTGAAAAGTGTAATTTGTTATAAAGATACTGTGGTGTGTGTGTCATTATGATACCAAACAATAAACTGGCAAAATGAAGAGAACGTCGAGACTGCATATTCATTAAATTACTGTTGTTGAGATAAGGTTTTACATGGGTCCGCTTCGGTATGTTAAAACAAAAACGTGAACAAGCGTTTTGCACCCTTTGTATAACTTTCTTTGTATGAGAGAGGAGACATTCGCCTATAACCGCATCAGCGTAATTAAGCTTAGAAAGAATTAGTGACTCACAAAAGTATATCCTAAGGTCTAAGCTTAAATATTTACGTCCTTGGTATAAACATTTTAGCCTAAAATAACAATTTTTAACAACTTCTAGGACATGATTATGAAATTTTAATTTGCTGTCCATTAGTACACCCAGGTTTCTAGCCTCTGTCACATGTTCAATATGTTTATTCTGTATTTTTAGCTCTAAAGTAAACCTATTAATCCTATCTACTTGATTTTTAGACCCTAGCACAAGAAATTTAGACTTTTGAGGATAAATCCTCTGTGCTAAAGCACTAAGCTGTTTTTATTAGACCATTCAACTACGTGTGCTAAATCGTGATTAATTTTTGTCACTGCTAATAAAGTTTCTGAAGGTCTAAAAGAATAGTAAAGCTGTAAGTCATCAGCATAAGCATGAAATTTGCAATGTCTGCACTATACAGAATAAAAAGGAGTGGACCCAGTATTGACCCCTGTGGTACACCTTGACTGACAATTGAAATATCTGAGTCTTTTAGTATTTGTTTTACTAATTACTTCAACTCTTTGAGAGCGTCCGTACAAAAACTTGAAAACCATTTCAATGTGATTTTGATCATTTTAATGTGAGAGTTTTGACATAAGCAAATCGTGGTTTATTGTATCAAAACCACGGGAAAAGTCCAGCAGTACCAATATTGTACCATTTCCAGAATCAGCTTCGGATAGTACCTCATCCACTACATCTAATAAAGCAGTGGCCGTGCTATGACCGTTTCTGAAACCAGACTGTTTTTGAGGTAAGATGTTGTTGACATTCAGAAATTCCAAAAGTTGCTGAGATACAACTTTTTCAACTATATTAGACATTAAGGGAAGAATACTAATGGGGCGGAGATCCTTTAACTCGTTCGGATTGCTTTTCTTTGGTATTGTTTTGACCAGAGCTCTTTTCCAAATGTCAGGGAAAACGCCTGTTTTGATGGACTGATTAACAATGGCAGTAATAATCGCTAATGTACGAGGTAGTGTCAACTTGATCATATCACGCGTAATGCCATCAGCTCCTTGAGCATTACTCGCAATATTAGAAATCATTTTAGAAATTTCTGTTTCATCCACAGTTTTAAGACTAAATATTGCAGAGGTACACCGATTCGACTTAAAATAGGTAAGTTCCGAAATGCTAATGTTATGATTTACGTCTATATTAAGAAAATGGTTGTTGATAAGATTAGGATCATTGATATTTTAAGATAAATCGTACTGTTTGTTTTTAAAATTAGCGACATTTAACTTGAAATTTTTCCATAACTCTTTGGGGATTTTTTATTGTTCATTGATATTATATCGGAAGTATGCTGCTTTTTCGTTGAATAACACATTTTAGATCTTTGTAATACGTTTTGTCAGATTCAACTTTTGAGGAACGACTCCTTGCGTAGGCTTGATCCCTTAATTTCATCATACATTTGATAGTTGGTGTTATCCAGGGGTAAATTTGTTTTTTAATGTAGGATTTCTTAATAGGTGCATGTATTTCATAAATATGATTGATATAGGCATTAAAAGACATTAAAAAAACGTTTACATCTTCATGAAAAAGTCGTTTCCAATTAATACTATTAACTAAGACATTAAATTCCTCAATATTTATATTTCTTAATGGTCTGTAACTTATATATTTAGGAACTGGTCTAGGTTTTTTATATACAATTCACATGAAACAATAGCATGATTACTTAGGTCTGGGATATGATCAACTGAGACATTGAATATCTTAGATGTGCTGAATATTAAGTCTAATAATACATATATTATTTAAATACTATATATGTATTTAACTTAAAGGTATGCACAACATTTCAACATGAAATTTAAAATTAGTTATGAAATTAACAGATAATAAAATATGATATAAACACAAAGACTATTCTATGCAATACAGGTAAAATTCTAATTTGGTCGAGAGCTTAACATTGTATAATTTAAAGTTTTAATTTTCAGTTTGAGTGTAGTATATAAATATTTTCTTTTTTAAGGAACCAAGATCTATTATACATTTACCGAACATATCATTGTACTTTCTCATCATAGAACATAGAGGAGAGTTGTTACCATAATTTTTGCTATTGAAATTTACACTAAAGGGACTAAAATTACACAACGGTACCATACGACTGAACAATAATCAACATGACTGCGAACCAGTGCAAAATAGAGAACTTTTAACGCTAACTTAAAACCAAACTTAGCCAACTTAAAATCTTTGGTGTTTCTGAAAATAAAAGCTAACATTCTTAATGATTTGTATATGGTATTGTTAATGTGGTTAGTAAATCGCATCTGAGAGTCAATAGCAATGCCTAAGTCCTTCACTTCATCTACTTTCGCTAAATCTACACCATTCATATTGTAACTACTATTATATTTGTTAAATTTTCGAGAGAATTTAATGTGATAGCATTTATTTGTATTGAGAGACATTTTATTTTGCCGGCACCATTCTGTAATTCTATCTATATCCTCTTGAATTTGAATTTGGTCTGTGTTATTATTCACTATTTTGGATATCTTTAGGTCATCTGCGTATAATTCAAATTCGGAGTTACGGATGCAGTGCTTAATATCATCGATAAACATAATAAAAAGTAATGGGCCAAGGTGCGAGCCTTGTGGAACTCCAGACGTTGGGATAATTTCTCTAGAAACAAAACCGCTAATGACTACTCTTTGTGTTCGGTCTGTGAGATATGAAGCAAACCAATCTAATAAGCATCCGTGTATGCCAAATAATGTGTGTAGTTTGTTGATTAGAACTGAATGATTTACTGTGTCAAACGCTTTACTAAAGTCATTATAATTACAATCTACTTCATTCCCTGAGCTCATTCTAGTAAGTGTTCTGTCAACAAATGTAATAAGATTGGATGTAGTAGAGCGTTTTTTAAAAAAATCCGTGTTGTTGATCAGCTATAATATGTTTTATATGCCAAGTCAAGTAAGGACAAATTGACGATTCAAAAACTTTACCTAAAACTGGAAGAATACTAATAGGTCTGTAGTTGCAGATATTACTTTTATCGCCTGATTTATGTAATGGTATAATTATTACATCCTTCCAACGTTTCGGAAATATACCTTCAGATAATGATCTATTAAAAATAATATGTAAAGGTATCGTGAGCTCTACTGCGCATTCCTTCAGAAACAAGGGGTGAATCCCATCACTTCCGGCGCCCTTAGTAATATCTAGAGCCTTTAAGCACTTCTCAATACTGCCATTATTTAAATAAAGATTCCCCATGGAGAAAGCAGACTTTGGTATTTCCATTTTGTTTATATTTAAACTAATATCAATAGGTTTATATACTAATTCAAAATTTTCTGCAAACAGGTCGGAAAATGTTTCTCCATTATTAGCTTCTTTGTCTCCAAATTTCATATTAGACGGTATACGACCATTATTCTTACGTTTATTTTTTATATGAGTCCAAAAGTACATTAATCACGCTGTCAACAACATTTTCAATGTATTTGTCATAACATTTTTTGATTAATGTTTTAGTCCTAACTTTTAAGATATTGTATTCAAATTTATCTAATTCATTCCTGTACTTTTTAAATTTTTGACGAGATTTTTCCTTTTTTCGTAATAGTTTTATGAGGTTTGTTGTATTCCATGGAGGATATGATTTTTTGTTTTGTATGCGACATGGAACAAATTCAGTGATAACTTTTTTTATAATAGAGTAAAACTTCGATACAACTTCATCAACAGTCGAACAGTTTTGGAACTCCGAAGTCCAGTTAAGGTCGGATAAACGGGCTCGTATACTATCATAATTCGCTAAAATAACTTATATTTAGGAGTTTGTCTTGGAGAGAGCATTTTTGCTTTACATAAAACTAAGTCTACTTCGATTGGGGGATGATAGTGGTCTATTCGAGAAATTATACTGTTTGATTTTTTAACGGAAATATCACAATTTGTGTTACTCAGCGCGAGGTCGAGAATTTTGCCCTGGTGATTAGAGATCTGACTATATTGCTTTAGATCATAACTAGAACAAAAATTCTATGAATTCATAACCGAAGATATTATCAAAATTGCTGGGTTTAAGCGATGAATCTGCATTAGAAGGAGTCCAAACAATGTCACGCAGATTAAAATCTCCAAAAATAAGAATATCGTTGCATGTATTATTAATGACATTACTCATCTCAAGCATTTTCAGTAAAACGCTGGAGATGAGTTTGATTTAGAGGAGAACGTAAATAAACTGAACAAACATAGATTCTATAGTTACCCAGCTCTAGGGTTACCCATAAATCTTCACAACGAGATTCAAAATTGTGGTTTCTATAAGCACTAATTGACTTTTTCACAGCGATAGCAACTCCACCTACATCATTATTCTCATTAAAAGTGTTGGATGATCTGTCCCTCCTAAATACTTGGTACCTACTATCGAAAATTTCACTATCAAATATACTATCGTTAAGCCAAGTCTCTGTTAATACGATTAAATCGAAATTGTTAGCGCTAACTTCCAAAAAGACATCAGTCCGCATACGGCGGATGTTTCGGTAATAAGTTTTAAGAGTGAATTTTAAAACTAAAAACAATGACTGTTGCTAAAAAGATTTAAAATCTAATTTAAAGATTTCAAGGTAAACTGGTGTAATATCACTTTTGCTGGATGTTCATCGTCTTTTCTAACAAAAATTCTTCCATTTCTTACCCATACATATTTGTAATTTTTCTCTTTCGCCCAGATTCTCGTTGCATGCAGTGATTTATTAGCTTGGGTGAGATGTTCACTGATGTAGACGGTTGATTCAACATCACCAAAGCCTAAAAGTTTGGTGTTCAATTTTGCTTTGGGATGAGACTTGTTATATTTGTATACAGCTGCAAGTAAGTTGTCGCGTTTTAATTTACTGACAAATCTGCATATAACTGTTTTGTATGATTAATTTAAAATGGTAATATATACTATAATCATATTTATGACAAAAAGTTGTTTAAATCTTGTTCGTAAATATAGAAAATACAAGATATTGCATTTTTAAAATATATATAAAACTAACTAAATGACAATTCAAATGTTTGTTTTCTAAACATAACATTTTCTTTAACATTAAATAATATATAAACAGTAAGTATAACAAATTCTTGATTTGTACACATTTCAAATAAAGGAACTCAGAAATAGAACTTATCTCAAAATTTTATACATAACGTAACAATTTTATAAAGAAAATGAAGTAAATTAAAATTAAAATGAAAATAGGGGAATGCAACTAATGAATAAATTAATCAAATAGCATTGTATACTACTTGGTATTTCCAACGTTGCATTCCCCAAAAACCTTAATTAGGTCCATTACAGAGCGAAGCTGGTGGCATGCCTTACCGTTTTCTTGTCTAGCGAAAGTTTTGCCACCACGCGTCCATACGTACTTCCAAGAGTGACGTGTGGCAGCCTCGCGAGCGCTCTGGAAAAGTTGCCGATTGTGTCGTGTAAGTCGCTCATTTATATAAAATGGACGTGCATCAGCTCCCACCAGTGCCATGTCATCAGTGGAGAGGTGGCGACGCAAACGCGCAGCCTGCAGTATCGCGTCGCGGTGTGCGCGACGCGTCAGTCGCACGACAATTGGCCGTGGCCTTGACGTCGCAGCACCTTCATTTGCACCTCGTGGCACTCCCACTCGCTGTGCATTCACTGCGTCGCATTCCGCCACCTCTACCCCTAACTTCTTATACACTGTGAGGAATACGTGAATAGGGTTTTAACTGTTCAACTCGTGGAAATTGGCTATCTCGATATCATTAGCAAGCATATCTTGGTTCCGATCCTCGATTTCTAGCTTGAGGTTTGTAATGGTATCTTCAAGGTCAGATATATTACAACTATGTGACGCACTAACTTTATCTTCCAAGTTTTGCATTTTGCTCTCAAGTCTATCGATTCGAGCATTTTGTAATGTAATTGAGGCAGTTAAATCGGAAATAACTGAGCGGAACGTTGACATTTCAGCCCGCATGGCACGCATTTCTTTATAAAATTGTTTCAGCTCCGCCACAAAGT